CACATGTTTAAACTTAAACATTTAGATCTGATCATTTGTATTAGAGCATACTATGTAGATAATATTCAAAGAATTTATCTACATAGTATGCTCTGATACCAATTGTCTTATCTAAATGTTTAGGAATTAAACATGTGACATGCTCTGGTACAAATTTTCATGATGGAATGATAAACTGCTCTGATATTAATTGTCCAGTCATCTTTTTCAAACTATGACTTTTAATGTGGTTGTAGCAAGTTTGAGCCCAGGAAGCTACAGTAGCATTCGCCTCTGTTGCTTTGGCCTTGGAAGCTTCGCCTCCCACACAGCTCCGTTTCTCGACTTCCAAAGATGGTAAAGAACAACAACCACATTCACAAAAATGTCACCAGTTAACATTTTGTGATGCATGTTAGTTTAACTTTAGCAGAATATATTCGCGCAGTTTAATATACACTTATCTATATGTTACCATCATTCTGTAGTTCATGGATCTATGTTATCTATAATAATGTGCTATATAGACTTTAACAACTGCTAATTTAAGCTATTCTTGTTTTTCAGACGAAGAAGATGGATGCTACAGTAATGGTGGTGCATGTAACCTAAGAAGTGCTTATATAATAAGGAATCATGAAGTAAGACTTATATTTGTACATTTGTTGTCAATTAGGTGCTTCCTCTCGCTACTTATGATTGTAAATCTTTTAATACACCATATAACTCACCGCACCCCAATGGTGTATTTCTGAACACTGTATGATGTTTTTACTCACACCTAATGGTGTATTTTTAGTGATGCATACCTAATTTGTGTGTGTGTTTTGTGGTGCATTTTCCTAAACTTGATGGTGTATATTTGTTGAATTATTGGTGACGCCGCACCTAAGGACATCGCCGTACTTGAACCTTACTCTATATATATATATATATATATATATAACCTAATTATATATATATAATTAGGTTATGATGAGGTTGTGCGGTGAGAGGAGAGCCATTGATTTTATTTAAATCTGTTGAAAAAAATAGCATAAATTGGCATAAAATAGCATTTTAGTAGCTATTTTGTGGTACAATTATCAGTGGGATCCACTTCCGATTTGAGTCGGGTCAAAGTGAATTCGGGTTCATCGTAGTGAGACGAAAAGATTGATATATTGTACGCTCAAAATGGATAATTGATTCTCAAAGTAGATCCATTTGAGTTGGAAAATGAAGGGAAAAAACGAAGCTTTTGTCCCACATGGGTTTGGGAAGTGGATTTGCACCACTATTTATACAAGAGCTCTTTTAAGGTTTATTGAATTGTATAACATAAAGGCTTTTTCTTGTGCACAGGGGTGATGTAAAAGGCTATGGGCATAATAATTTGTGCGCGGTGCAGCTATACTGAGACTTAGACTTGCTGTATGCACCCAGTACGCGCTGCAACCTGTAGTACCCGTGTCGATTGAGACTTAGACTTATTATAACCTGCAATATAATAATTAGATTAGGATACTTAAACTTATTATAACCTGCAATATAATAATTAGATTAGGATTCTATATTAATTAGTATTCCGTATATTTTTGGAAAACTTCCCTATCTCTATATATATTACAAAATAAATAAATAATATTAAAAAAAATCGAATGGGATAACTAGAAAAAATTGCTATAGTGGAATTAGGCATGTGCAAATCTGACCCAACCCGAAATATCCACCCGATTCGACATCCGAAACCAAGGCATCCGACCCACTCCACACCTGAATCACCATATCCGATCCGCATGACCAAACGACGTCGGATAAGCGAGATCGGATAGGGTTTGATTTTTTTGTATCCGATCCGTCCGATTATCCGAACTTTCATAGGGTTAGGGTTTCCTATATAGTAAACGACGTCGTCTGGCCTAAGTATATATATATATATATATATATATATATGTGTGTGTGTGTGTGTGTGTGTGTGTGTGTGTGTGTGTGTGTGTGTGTGTGTGTGTGTGTGTGTGTGTGTGTGTGTGTGTGTGTGTGTGTGTGTGTGTGTGTGTGTGTGTGTGAGTTGAACGCGCCATTTGCGCAGTCGCTACTCTCTCTCTCTCTCTGAGACTCCTTCTCTGAGTTCTCTCTACTCTTCATCTCCTTTGACTTCTCTCTAATCTCTGAGAGTCTGAGACTTTGAGTTCTCTCTACTCCTCAGTCCTCTCGACTCTTTCTACTCTCTACTCTCTGTTAGTCTGAGGCTCTTACTTCTTCGATACTCCGATAATCCGATTGTCCGGTGGCCGGTGCCCGTTAGTGGTGGAAGCCCTTCTCGAGTTCTCGTGGTGATCATTGAGTAGAGGCCCTTGTTCTCCGGGGAATATTAAGGGGAAACCAAGTAAAACACAAACTCTAGTTTTTATTTTTATGATTTGTTGATTTTATTCACTGCATGTTATTATATTTGTGTTATATTATGAATATGTTGTGATCTATGTTGTGATCTATTATTGTATTATGGTGGAAGCTGTTGTAATCTCAAACCTTAGATTTGTAGTTGTGATTTATTCACTGTATTGTGATATATTCTGTAGGGTTGTGTGCAAATCCGATCCAACATGCTAATATTCTGATAATGGTGGAAGCAGTGTGATTTTGTGATATTATGCGATCTATTGTGATGTCCCTTTAAAAGTTAAAGACTTGAATGTGAGATAATCAAGTTTCAAACTTGAAATTTCCATTTATTCGTGAAAGCCATTAACTGAAATCCAAATAATGATGAACTGGATAAAGTGTAGAAATGCTGACTGCTGTCAGCAGGTTTGCTGTAAAGAACTAAAGATGTTGATTGGAATGATTGTTGAAGTTTAAGTGATTAACTTTTTTTTTTTTTTATTTGTTGGAAGTTAAACACTTAAACTTAGATTAATTTTGTATTTTTGTTTACTTTTGCAATTTTTGTTGTAAAATTAAATTATTATACGTTTGATGTTTCTGTTCTTTAGCTTTGAAAATTATTAAGTTGTTGCTTGTTTTATTTTAAGGAATATTTTGTTTTAGTTATTCAATTATTAATGACTTTTTGAAATCCGAAATTCGATCCGTAAAATTCGACATCCGATTTAGCATATCCAATAAATTTTAAAGTACAAAAAATAACGAATTGAATTGATAAAATACAATCCAAAATCCGATCAGATGGACGGAATACATATCCGATCCGATGCACAGGCCTAAGTGGAATGACTAATAGAGTAATGGGGTTAGAAATGTTATTTTATCATAATAATTCAGAGTATAAATCTGCAATTTTTGAAGGTTTTTTTTTTTTTTTTTGGCTCAAGTGTCAAATCGCACCATGAACCAATTGCGATATGTCATGCCGCACCCTAATCTTATATAAGTGATTATTCGATTCACAAACTAAAAATTTTTGTCCGCCTAGCATTTTTTACAGGTTTCCCTGTTACTTTGATGACATGGAGCCGGTGGACTTATTTTATTTACTTGGTCAAATAAACTGATGAGCTGTCTTCTTTTCCTCCTTATCTTCTTTCAACCCTTATCGTCGACTTACCAGAGCTTCAGCTTCAACATGGTGACTCCCTGATTTGCGAATGATTTCTCAATTTTCGCCAAAAAGAAATCAACAATCATTTCATTCTTCTTCCAAATTTGGTTCTGAATTCTTTGTATTTTTCTTGGATATTATGCTTTAATTTCTGTGATTAATGGGAAATTATTATGCTTTCTTCTCCCAAATTCTACTGCTTTCTTGCAGCGATTACTTAGAGGGCGTTTGGTTGAAACATGGGAATCTGAATCGGGATGGGGTTTTAGCGAAGTAGCTTGTTTGTATGCGATTGAGATGGACCGAACCCGTATCTTGGCGGGGCGACCCAGTTGTTCGCAGCAGGTCGGCAGTCCGGGTGGAAGGCAGCAGCGGCGACCGATTGCGGTGGCGGGGTGCTCGACTCCATTGTTCCTCTCCTCATCAACGGCAGCAGCTGGAAGCAGAGCACGGTTTGGCAACATGTCTCAACACCCGGGAATGCATCCTTGTTCGACAACCACTCCAGTTCTTCCTCCATATCTTCAGGGAAGTCATCAGGGTTAATGGATTTTGATGACCCCAAGGAAGACGAAACAACAGGTGAAGTGCCAATGGCGGCGGCGGCCTGGTTCGCGTCCTTCTCGCCTTCACCCTCGTCCAAGTTAAAGTTCAGAAGGTATTTTACCAGATAAAGCTAGTTCCTGGTTGAACTGCTCTGACATCTGACTAAAAGAAAGAGCATCGGAGCGAAACCGGGTGCGTTCGCCCTTATCGCACTTGATGGAGGTGGAGACGCTAGGGACTACAACGCCGGCCGGCAGAACCAAGTCTCTGGTGGAGCTGCGTTGAATTTTTGCATTTTCTATTATATTTCCAAATTCCGTCTCAGCAATCACTGATTTCTCTGTAATATTTTGTGTATTTCTCGCCTATATTTTGTTAAAGGCTTTGGAGATAAATCGTTGTGGCCGATTGCATATGATTTTGAACATTCAGATTGATTTATGAAGTTTTTCTGGAATTTCCAGAATCCGGCGACACTCCGATCGCCGGAACGCCACATCTACAACGCAGATGGCTGGAAATTCAAATTTTGGGTTATTCAATTAAACTGATGAAATGACTGCCACATCTATTGAAATGGCTGACACATCTACAAAACAAAACACATGTCTGCCAAATCACCTCCACATCACTAATTTATTACCTTTAACCTGAAGGTTACCTGTAAAAAATACTAGGCGGACAAAAATTTTTAGTTTGTGAATCGAATAATCACTTATATAAGATCAGGGTGCGGCATGACATATCGCAATTGGTTCATGGTGCGATTTGACACTTCAACCTTTTTTTTTTTTTTTTCACATAATTCAGTCTAATTTTTGAGATACCGAACGTGCCCTCAGAAACCTGGTTCCAGAACATTTGACTACCCTATAACCAATAGAACAATGACCGGTGTCCACTTATCTCTACTAAAATACACCGCCTCGGCATAACGCTTCACGGCGGCTTCCTCTTCAATTCGGATTCTAGGGTTTCCTTTCATTCATCCTTCATCTCATCCCCAATCTCCCAGAACTGAATATATGCAACCTCCAAACCAGTTCCGACCCGCACGAGGATTCATATAGCCCCGTCATCTCTTCTCCGTATTCGATTCCAAGATACGTATCCTGATTGAAGTGTTTTGGTGTTGAGAATTTTAATTATAATGATTATCTCTTTTCTCCTCCGCTTCACTTCATCGTCGCCGGTGACGTCTACAAATCTCCGCGCTTTCGGCCCCGGTCTTAATCCTTTTGCTCCGTACAACCTCGCCAATCATTCTTGCTCTCGCTAAGCGCTCTTCCCCCCTCCCCTAACATCTCTCTTCTTTGTTTGCTCCTTTGTTTTCTTTCGTCCGATAATGTAATTGGAGGGAAATATTTTTTTCGTTTGCAATTTTTTTTCGCTTCTGGGTCTTATAGACAGAACTGTGAACTGTCTGCCTGTTTCTTGAATCTTGAAAGATAAGATCTAATTTCGTTTGAAATTCGCGAATTTGGGATTTGGTTTGCGTCTGCTGGGTTTCAATTGAAACCCAGGAATATACTGTGGATTGGTTTCAGATTTCGTGGTTTATGTAAAAAAATTGGAGAAGAAACAAATCAATTTCATCGGTCGAGAATAATCTAGTTTTGTTCTTGAAGAGTCGTGATTTTAGGGTTAAGATCATGCCTGAAGATCAGTTGGGTTTATACAAGCGGTCTAAAAGGTTGCATATGACCGCTGGAGATAGAGATGATCGTGGCTGGACTCCTCTACACATTGTTGCTCGGAAAGGTGACCTGAGAGAGGTATAGATCTTCTCCCACATATGAAAAGGTTAAATTTTTAGCTTATATGTTACCTAATTTCATGGCTTTTGTATTGAATTTATTTGTGTGGAGTTTTAGTTGATAGTATAATTTAGTACTATAATATTAGGATGGTATAAGAAAGATATGATGCTGGTGTGTTTTCTTACAGTAGCTAGACATCTATCAGATTGGGTCTCCAGCACAATGGGAAACTCGTTTCTCTTTTTTAAAAGAAATTAGAATGATGGGTGGGCTTTTTTTTCAGTTACATCCGTTGGGTTCAATTTGTTTGCCTTTTCTTTTCCCTTTTTGGGCTTCTTGTGTTGAAATTGAGTATATTTCTTAATCATTTAGTTGGATTTCTTATTTTATTGGGTTTATCTAATTTGAGGAATATTTTACAGACTACACTTTCTCATTCATTCCAATCAATATTTTAGTTTTCTAGCGCTTTCTAGCTCACTAGTGATTGGTAGTGAAATGATGATTTTGCATGTTACAACTATTTCTTTAGAATTTTGGGTGAGCATAGGAGTTCTGCCTCTGAGGTGTTGTATTGTGCGAAAATGGCTTAACCTTCTGTTTCTAATTTTGTAACCTCCTTGTTGTCTCTTCTGCTATTTTATGATTATGTTTAATTTATTTATGCCTTGTGATGACTATATCTGTGGTTATATGATTTCATTTTGTCTCCCTTATTTGTCATTGCATCACTCTTATAAGAAATTTTTTTCATTATTTCTTGCTCTGTAGCATCTGCTTTCAGTCTTGTCTAAGTGAATGTATGATGTTTACAGGTTAGGCGACTTCTTAATGAAGGCATTGATCCAAATGTGGCTGCATGGGGCCCAAAAGCTCAGGGTGTCACACCCCTTCATCTTGCTGCTAAGGGTGGCCACCGCAAAATTATGGATGAATTGCTTGAGCACGGTGCTGACATTGATGCACGAACCAAGGGAGCTTGTGGTGGATGTAAGTACAGTTTTTGAAAACGTCTTCCTTTTTTTAAAAAAAAATGTTGAGGTTAAGAATTCATTTCATTTAAGCACCATTTTCAACTAAGCTAACAAACTGATCTTTATTTTGTAACTCTCTCGAATACAGGGACTCCTCTACATCATGCAGCTAAAGAAAGAAAGAAGAAAGCAATCAAGTATCTGATTAAAAACGGTGCTTTTCTGCCAGATGACATCAATGACACCAGGTTCAATCCACCCGTGCACTACTGTCCTGGTCTTGAGTGGGCTTATGATGAGATGAAGCGTCTTAAAGGGGACAGTTCATCATCTGGTGAGGGCTCCTATAGCTCTGGGAATTGAGATAAGCGAATGTGTTGGAAGTCCAGTCCTATTTGGGATTCGGTTTATTCAATATTATGCACTGCGCCAATATTTCCAGTTGCCGTCATCCAGATCTATATGTTGCATTTGTTAATGCCTAGCGTTACATGTTGGATGTTGCTATTTCAATGGTTTTCTTTATGCTGTCCATTTGCTTTGGAGGGTTGTTGTTCTAAACTCAGATGTCTTAGTATCTGGTGTATTGTATTTTTATCTTTATTTTGATGGTGACTGATATCAACATCTACAAGACTACATTGTGGATCTTTGAACAATAAAGTGTTGTTTGGTGATGAATATTTGTTGAATTTGTGTTGTGCCATCTTATGTTACTTCTATTTTACATTCTAACCAGTATAATTTTGAAGAACTCTATGGTCGTTGAAATGATTATGGTTGTGGAGTGTGGACTAGGGTTTATCATGCCCATTGTGAACTCTGGTTCTGGTTATATACTTACAATTACATATTATGTGTCTTCGATTTTTATGTTTATAGGTTATGTACTTATAATTAACATATTATATATTAAAGGGTGAATCAACGATTTAGTCTCTCAGTTATTTGCGACTTGTCAATGTTGTCCCTCAATCGCGTATTCATCGATTTGGTCCCCGAAAATAATTGTTTTTCGTCAATTTAGTCCTTATGGCCGTATTCCGTCAAGACTCAAGCGAAAGCTCCGATTTGCCCTGGGCATTTTGGTCTTTTCACGCCTTCTTCTTCATTAACTCTGATCAAGCTTCGCCAGAGAAACTCAAACTCGCCGGAGGGAGCTCCATCTCGACGAAAAACAATTATTTTCGGCTAGTTTACAACAAAATGCCCTGCATGTTGACGGATTCCAGCAACCTATCAATGGTCTCAGTTCATTAATCTGTAATTAGCTAAACTTCTTATCTATTTGTTCAATTATGGTTATTTTTGCCGGAATTCAAATTCTGAGACTTGGAAAGGTGCCACTTAGCATTGTAGGGTGGAGAATCCAACGACATCTTCGACAATCCAACCATGGAGTTCTTCCGACTCTGAAAAAGTGTGAAGAGAGTCACTGAACCGTAGGCGATTTTCCTCCACCGCACGGCATCGATCTCTTCATCGCCAGTGTTGCTAAGGTTCAACTCCACCACCTTTCTGCCAGCCTTGTTGTCTTGGTTATTTTTGCCGGAATTCAAATTCTGAGACTTGGAAAAGTACCGCTTAGCATTGTAGGGTGGAGAATCCAACGACATCTTCGACAACCCAACCATGGAGTTCTTCCGACTCTGAAAAAGTGTGAAGAGAGTCACTGAACCGTAGGCGATTTTCCTCCACCGCACGGCATCGATCTCTTCATCGCCAGTGTTGCTAAGGTTCAACTCCACCACCTTTCTGCCAGCCTTGTTGTCTCCGTCGCCAGCATCGTCGGGGCTCGGCTTCTGGAGGAGTGTCACGCGGAGAGTGTTCCTGTGCGCCCAGGAGATCGAGGCACTGTGAATTGGGGGTTTAAGGCTGTAACAGAGGGGGTAGACCACATTTGGGTTTTCAAATTTCGGCGGGAACAGGGACCATTGATAGATCGCCGGAATTTGTCGCTATGCGATGTATTTTGCTGTAAACTAGCCGAAAATAATTGTTTTTCGTCGAGATGGAGCTCCCTCCGGCGAGCTTGAGCTTCTCCGGCGAAGCTTGGTCAGAGTTAATGAAGAAGAAGGCGTGAAAAGACCAAAATGCCCAGGGCAAATCGGAGCTTTCGCCTGAGTCTTGACGGAATACGGCCATAGGGACTAAATTGACGAAAAACAATTATTTTCGGGGACCAAATCGATGAATACGCGATTGAGGGGCAACATTGACAAGTCGCAAATAACTGAGGGACCAAATCGTTGATTCATCCTATATTAAATGTTCTCTTTTAACTATTTACTACTGATTTGTGTTAACAAAACTTGATTGAAGTTATTTGTTTAACGAACTTTGTCTGAAGTTATTTTTAATTTAATTTTTTCTAAGATTAAACTAACGAAGTTTAACTGAAGTTATTTTTAATTCAATTTCTCTGTCATAGAAGGGAAACACTTCCAGTCTAAAGGGACCAACCAATCAATGAAAAAGGCTAATACAAAAAAGGGACCAACCAATGAAAAAAATGGACACAAAAAAGGGATCAACCAATGAAAAAAGGGACTAACCAATGAAGTTGAGCGGATAGTGCAATTAAGATTAATTAAGTCTAAAATTATCTGTTTGGACTGTTTGGGAGTTTCCTAAATCTCCTAAACCTGTAAAAAAAAAAAGTAATTAAGTCTAAAATTATTTGTTTGGCAGGTTAGTGCCTTCTAAACAGGCACATGTCAGAAGACACTAACCTGCCAAATAGGTAATTTTGGACTTAATTAATTTTATTTTTTACATGTTTAGGGAATTTAAATGGAGCTTATATATATATATATATATATATATATATATATATATATATATATATATAGGAGAGGAGACTCAATTATACTATCTGTTTGATTTAGGGAACCAATTTGACATTTTTTTCCTTTGACATACCTAGCTTAAAGTTTCCATAATGCATCAAAATCTTTCTACTTTGAACTATATATGTATACTTTTACAACTCTTTTGGTTCGCTGGAAAATATTTGAAAGAAAATGGAATTGAAATTCCATGGAAAATAAATTTCAAGAAAATAGATTCCATTGTTTGGTTGGTGGAAAAGAAATTATTGGAAATATGAATTCCATTGTTTTTTTTGAGTTTGGAATGGTAATGAATAATGAGTATAATGACAAATATAATCCTACACAACAATAATAATATAATATAATAATAATAAGAGTAATTAATAAAGAATAATGAGGGTAAAATTGTCATATTAGTTTTCTATGAAAAACCTTTTCCATGGAAAACAAAATACATAGGATGAGCTAAGAATTTGTTTTCCTCATTCTTAAGGAAAAAATTTTCCAATGAACCAACCAAACAACATAAAACATCATTTTTCTTTACTTGTAGGAAAATATTTTCCATGGAAAATGTTTTCTATCAAACCGAACACCCCCTTAGTTAACATTGAACTCACGAATTTAAAAATTAAAATTTACCTAAAAAATAATGGTCAAATAAATAGAACATGATTCTCATATTAAAAGTTTACAAATTTGATTCTTGTCAACATTTTTTTTTGGTCAAGTTCGTTACATATGACATTCCTAGTGTGGTTTGTAGGCTATTGCATAAGAATATGATTTACTCAATGAGTTAGTGCACACTCTTGGATAGTAGTGCATATTTTCACAGTGACAACAAAAAAAACTAAAATTTGTATAATTTGTGACAATTTTAATAAAATATTTGAATGTTTATAATTTAATTCAATTATTAAATATTTTTACCCTTAAATACCATTTTCATAACAGAGTTCACAAATTTAATATACAACATTGTCATCGTTCGAAAAAGTTATATTTTGAGTGTTCTACTATATGTGCTTCTAAATTATACTTTCTCAATTTTTACTCGTTGATGTGGTAGATAGACTATTTTCATCATGTGTGTTTCAACAAAAATATCTACATCAAAAATTTAAAAGTGAAAGTAAAATTTGAAAGTACGCATACTAATTTTCATAATTTTATAAGTTAAATAATAAAAGTATATAATGTTAACTTATAAGAAATTAAGAATGTTAAATATTATAAATAAAATGATGGCATTATATTTTTAAAATAAAATAATAATTTTAGTTTCATTATTTAAAACATTATTTTTCAAATTGCATTCATTGTTTTACCAATATTTTATGCTTAAGAAAGAAAAATAAGACGGTTTCCACTTTCCAAGATATTTTTTTACTAGACAGTATATAATTGAATTGGGGGAAAATAAAAAGCGCTATTGTACAAATGATTCAAAAATTCGGTACTGAAGTATTAATTTTAAAAAGTTTGATCACATCATATACAAATTTTGAAAATTTGAGATAAACCCTAAACATCGCGCGGTGGGATGTCTGAGATTCTTGCGGAGAAGCTCTGATACTGTCTCAATTTGAAGGTATCGAAAATCTTTAGTCTGTGGAGATGATATTGGAGTGTCGAGATTTCTGGAAATCGTTAATGTGTTAATAGTTTGAGTCTCTGATTATTATTAGCGGAATGTTTATACTTTCTCTCTGCTTCGTGCTTTATATATATATGATCAGGCTTTTCTTCTATTGTAGTTTTTTTTCTTTGATTTAATGTAGTATAAATCCCTAGTGTATTTGATGTATGAAAGTTAGCTGTGTTTTTGGATATTATTTCCCATTCCCTTCTTTTCAGGAATTTAATGTAGTATAAATCCCTAGGTTTACATGATAAAATGTTTTAATTTTCTGGAGAAAAGTTGGTTTGCAGAGATGGGAGCTAGTGAGAAGTGCGGACAGTTTTGTCCACTAATTCATCACCAATGCAGTCTGAATCCAGTTGTTTCTTTCTTCAAAGTCATCGTCAGCAATGAATTCTTGGAAACTCTGGTATCATCGAATCACCAAATAACTCGTTTTTAGTTAATTTGGCTATGTACTTCTTGCTTTTGTTATTTCGTGGTCTAAACAAATGTGGTTATGTACTTAATAAACCCATTTAGAGAAGGTATTGTATGTTGTTTCTTGATCAAATGACGTTATATTCTAACACTTTTTCATGCTGCAACTTAATCTCTTGCAGTTTCTGCCTCCTACATCTGTTAAATATGTGTCCCACTTGGTTGGTCAAGAAATATATCTTGAGGACTCTATTGGAGTTAAATCAAAAGCAACTGTATCATATTGTAAAGGTACACTGGCTATCAATCAGGGATGGCGCCAATTCTCGTTGGACCATAATGTTGAAACGGGGGACTTTGTGCTGTTGTATTTGATGAATGGACCTGTAGGGCACTTTGTTGTTCACATATATGGCCGAAGTGGTTGTCTGAAAACCAACTTTGATGCACCTTCAGAGAGAAGTAACAAAAGAGCACGGACTATCAGAAGCTTACCTGAACAAGATGAGGCTGCAGGCATAAATTCAATGAACAAAGAGGGTTCTCCTACTTCTTTTGCAACTATGCCAGGCTTTGGAAACAATCATCACCAGCCCCCCACAATCACACACACTCCAATCATTGATGTAGATAGTGGAAGGAAACAATCCAGTCCACCTGTCATGCATTTTGAAGAACCATTTTATATGTCTGGTCAAGATATTGGATACAATCAAGAGGAAAACAGAATGCATTTATTTGACCTATCAAGTTTTGAAATGCCGGCATTCAGGCATGCTGAAGGAAACAACAACTTTTCAAAAGGTAAAAATGATCCTCTTGATCTTGTTCAGCAAGATGTGCAGTCAGAAAAGGATACTACGTCTCTGAATGATCTTGTATTCACAACCAAGAGAGAAGCCTACCACTCTCCAGGCAGGATTCTTATGGATTCCAATGGAATATCTCACTTTGGTAATCTCCAATCTCATTCAATTGCTTAAATATAATGGTTTATGTTCATTGATTTTGTATGTTATTTTTTAGGTTCTTTTCACATGTAATTGAAGCTTCTCCCCTTTCTTTTTGCAAATGCTATTAAATTTCCATTTATTAACTATTGTTTTACACCTGAACAATGAAAAAATGAAACCAGAAGAGAAAGATCTCATGCAGGTGAGAACACAAGGTGTGACCCAACCAAGATCTGAAATGCCAGCAAGTAGACCTGCTGAAAGAAAGAGGATTTTAATAGGAGACAAAGAAGCTATAGAACATGCTGAGAGTGAAGTTATTGTTTTAAAGGAAAAAAGTTTCAGAGAAAGTATTATGTCATGTAAGAATAAAAAGAGCCCCTGCACAGGCAGTGCTCAGATGGCCAGAGCACAACGTGGTGCCAAAGAAAGTATTACACCATGTAAGAAGAAAAAGAGCCCCGGCATAGGCAATGTTCAGATGGCCAGAGCAGAATGTGGTGGAGCATCTGACGTTGGTAATTTCTGATTCAAGTCTTTTCTTTTCATCATTCCACACCAGTTTTTGTTCACTCTTTCTGTATGTTGTTGGAATTAACACTAATTAATTCCCATTTGGTAAATGGGGATTTTTTTTGCCCTCCTTAATAGCTAAGGAAACGAGAGTAGTTAAAAGAGAACCAGTGGAGGTGGGGAACGAAGGTATGATTGATGAAGAATGGTAATTGGTATTTTTTTTTGTTGAAGTTATTTTATTTCTTGTTCAGTGGCCTCTTATTTTAGAAGCACACCTTCTTGTGTTCTTTCTTGATGTGTTTCTATTTATATTTCATTGCAACCTTAATCCTTTCTACTGTTCTACATATTGCATTGACAAGATACAGGAAATGAACGGAACTTGAGAAGCAAGTCTTACATAAATGTCAAAAGTGAGCCCGTTGATTCAGCAGATACACCAATACTTGCTGCTCCATCCAATGACTCCTTTCTGGTGATGGTTGATCATCAGGATTTTCTCGTATGTATCTTGTTGAAATATCATTCTTTCTATGAATGCTGGACTTTTTCAACTTTGATCAGTTTTCATTTTATTTATGGTCTCGTATACTCTGACTTTATACTTGCCTAGTTTTATCATCTGAGTTGTTAGAGTTTGCATTATGTACATGTCCATGACTCCAAATACTGCGTAATATTCTTAGGAACTTATATCCAAGTCTTGGCCTCTTCCAGTCTTCTGTCTTTCTAGTTCCATGTTATCACTTTTTATAACCAATGCATTTACAATTCTACTTTTTACATCTCTAAAACATTTTAATGAGTTCTCTTTCCTTTTCTCCTCAATAGGTGACACCGTGTTTTAAGTAACATTCAGTCTAGATTTTTTTTTCTCGCTTTTGTATTCATAAGTTATAAATTATGTTGAATATATGCATGTAACTGGGTTTCCATAATCATGTGTATATTCATGGTATTTGGATAGTACGGAGTAATATATTACTCTCTTTATCATATTTTATTAATTTTACTTTCGTTTTTACTATATAAAAGGAAAATATTATATCATAGTTATTAAAATTGTTGATATGACTAAAATCTTACATTTATAATCTTATCGAGATTCTTAAAAATTTTAGACGCAACAATTTATAACAAATCTTATATTCCTATTAAATAACTTTGTTAATTGGTGTACTTTCATGCCTTTCTCTTTGTTTAATTGGAGGCTCAGTGATCTGATGCAGTTGTGCGTTATCGTTTTGTTGCAATATTCTCTCCCTTTTTTTTTTTTTTTTTTTTTTCCTTGCCTCCTGTTGTGCGCCTAATTCCTTTATTTATCCGTGTATGCCCTTGATCCTCGCACACAGGAACTACCAGATTCATGGCCTAGCATAAGAACCCGAGAAAATAAGATTATATTCCTCGAAGATCCAACTAACAGAGTTTGGCCGACTTTATACCAGAAGAAGCAGCAGTTGAGAGTTTTAGCAGGTGGATGGAAAGACTTCAGTGTGGCTAACGAGCTTAAACCAGGACAGGAATGTGTTTTCCAAGCCAAAGGATTCCCTTATTACAGTGTTGATATTAGACGTAAGTAGGAATGCAGGATGGCAAAGGAACCAACCCGCTTGACTTTTTGAAGGTTTTTTGCGCGGTGAACAGCTGACTGTATAGTTTAGTTTTGTAGGCATTGCATTGCTCACAGGTGCAGAAGCAATGGAAAATTGGAAATGGTTCTTGAAGTGTTTTCTGTGCTGCTGCTGCAGCACTATCTTTTTGTCTAGCTTTAGTCTAAATGATGAAGCTCTGTACTCTTTGTGGGTTGGAACTTCATCAGTTTATCTTTTGCAAAGCAGTAGACAAAACATATATGCTAAAAAAGATTCACATTTTTAGTCTTAAAACATATATGCAAAGCAGTGAACGAGCCGTGCAGTCCTACAAATTATCCTCATCATAAAAAAAAAATTGCATGTTAGCAATAACAAAAAGATAAATGGAAAATATTAAGGCTTTGTACATTTATTTTTATATTGAGGAAATTATACCTTTTTTTTTTTTTTTGAATTTGTATATTGATATTCAAACACATTAATTTTAGTGGAACCAGCTAAAAAAAATTTAGGCTAAAAGTGTCATCCCGCACCATGAACTATCATGATCTTTAATAAGTGATATTTTTTCCGGTAATCCTGATGACATGGCACGGTAATAAGCTGACGTGGTCTTATTTCTTAGTCCCCATTTTTAATTAAAGAATTAAAAAACAAAAACAAAAACAACTGCGTCGCCGGAGAGAAACTACCATGGAAGCGTTGAACAATTTTGATGCTACTCAAAGGCTAAACTTGGGGATGGGATGCATGCGTAGGAGCTGCTGCATTATCGTCGGAGCTTTTGAGATACCAAGGGACTGAAGGGCCGGCAACTGAAAACGCGATGGCTCCAGCGAGGACGTTGAAGCAATTAGTGGAGACGAGGACGCTAACCAGAGCTCTCAACCCAAGAGCGTCCACTCCGTCGTCGTCGTTGGTCACCATTACTGTGGGCAGATTGTCGGAGTAGTTAACGCCGCCGTTGTTCTCCATCGCAATTCGCACCTGGGGATAGACACAAACAATCTTTAAAGGGCGGATTATATTATGGATGGAAGTGGGAGTTGTTGCTGCTAATGGGCGCAGCATCAGCCCTCTATTTATGGGCATCATTAGCCGCAGTCTAGGCGTCCTGGTCCTCCTCATACGCGGAAGAAATTCGTATCTGGTGGGTGGTTGATCGCAAGTGGTGTGCTTTCTTCTGCTAGTCTTAAGGTGTTTATGCTCACGCCAAGACTCTGTTGATGGCTATTTCCGGCGATCTATTAATTCAGTGAGGACGGCTTTGGTCTGGTTGATGTTTTTGGTTCTTGATTTGTCCAGTTTAAATGTTCGCTGATTCTAGTTTCATCATCAACGTCCCCAACATCGAGCCTCCATCATCATTGTCATCAAGCTCCACCATCCACTTACACGCCATAGCTTCGTCACCATCAACATCATCTTCATCAAAGCTCTCTCTCTTCTCTATTAGTTCCAAGCAAAAAGAACGACAAAAGTGAAGGTACCTTCGGAGGGTGAGTGAGTGTTGCGTTCGGACGAAAGAAAAATAATAATAATAAAGCTGGGTTTTTTTGTTACTGGTTTGCTGCGGACGTGAGGTAGAGAAGACGATGGTGATTTCGTTGGTGGGTGAAGATAGTTGGCGGCTTTGTCGCGGTGGTGCGCCTCTGCTGCTATCCTGGCGGTGACGGATGGCCGGAAAAGGGAAGCGGTCGTGGAGCTCATTCGCAAGTTCTAGGTAGGGGACGGAAAAAAAAATTCCATGTCAGCATGATTACCGATAACTTGTAGGAAACCTATAAAAAGTTCTGAAAAAAAAATAATGGTTTATGGATCTAAATATCACTTATTAAAGATCATGGTGTGGCTTAAATAATTGAAAATGGTTCATTGGGCTTAATGACACTTTAGCCAAAAATTTATAATATATATGCGCACACATAATACGTACAAAAATAATAGATGATTTTTACTAACACGTCTTTGAGTTCATTGTATACTCGTACGAAATCTTTTTAGTCTAGTTTATTTTTAATGTGTGATTTGTAGACTACTATATATATGAGCGGTCAAGGACCTTTGGTTTAATGACATCAAGTTGTTCTCTCATATGAGAGTTTGTGGGTTCGAGTCTCAGTGGAGTCAATATTGACTTTTTGTGCTTTAGGTTGAGAAAGTAGTTGGTAGTACTCAAATATATATATATACTAGTATTTTTTTATGCGCGATGCGCAAAAATAGGTGCCCAATATTAATACATTATATTACAATTTTAAATTTATTTAGATTTTAGATATTTAAATTATTCTAAATAATAATAATAATGTAAATCATTTTTATAAATTTGATATTTATATGTATGTAATAATTAACATATAACTCAAATATTTAATGTGTATATATTATATATTATTAATGAAGAAGATAAGAAAATATATGGTGGATGCATGTGCATGGTAATAATAGTGGAAAAGATAACGGTAGGGGTATGTTTGTCCAAAATATTTTAATGTACAACCTTTATAGCATAATGTACAAAAAAAACTTAACGGAAGAAACGGACATAAATCAGGGGTATAACTTTCATTCACACTTATTATGTTTTTAGATATATATATATATATATATATATATATATATATATATACACACACACACACACACACACACACACACACACACGAGCGAGTTTACCTAGTGTACAACTTCGAATATAAAGGTATGTTTTTCTTGACACCTAAAAATATTTAGTGAAGTTTCAATAAGGAATGTAACTCAATTACATACAAAAAAATGTATATTTTGTAATTTAGACAAATGGCATGTTTGGTATATAACTGTTAGCTGATTGGGTTTGTGGGTTTGACTAGTTGATATCATTAGTTGATTGTAGAAAATTGTTTGGTAAATTAGCTGATAGCTGATTACATACAAATTGACTTTCTCAAAAAATTAATCGAAAAAACTATTTTGAGTAGCTTTTAGAATTTTAGCATTTTAGACTATGTTACAGAAAACTAATTAATCAGACACTTATATTGATTGTTTAACTAAGTGAAATAACTAATTATGGTTAAATAAGTCAAAATTGAATGATAAGATAAAAAAAAAAAGGTACAGATGACTTTTGAGATTTTTAATTTTGAGTCTTTTATTTAGTTAATAATAAAGTACGAACACAGATTAAAAAAGCAAAAGAAAAGAAAAAAGGAACAAAAGATGAGAAATTACGTGTTCGGGTCGGGTCGGGTCGGGATTATCTGGAGGAAAGAAATTTATAAAATGAGGTCACAACTCTGTTATCGTGTAATCGAAACCCTCGTCCTCACTTCATCACAGCCTAATCGTAGAAAGCAGCAGAAGGAAGAAGACATTGCAACAGATCTTTTTCCAGGTTCTCCTATTCTATATCCTCCTCTTTCTCTCTCTATATGCATATATTTATGTTTGTATCTACATTCTGTTTAAGATTCGCACTTTTTTTCAATTTATAATTACATTTATTCAGAAGGATCAGTAAATTATTTCTATGAATTCCTATCCTTTTGCGCGAAATTTCAGTGAGCTGCCGATTTGTTTTTGAATTTTGGGGAGTGTCAATCTCGCTAATTTGGTGGGAAATTTGAGTCTCTTATCTTTTTCTCCGAGCACAATACCGTCTTAATGTGGTCTTTGTTTATGTAAATTGATTGTCTTTTTTTTTTTTTTGTTTGTCTTCTCTGTCTTGTGAATGTTTAGATTATTTATGGTGGTGTAAGTTATGGCACTGCACGACTGACATGCATGTCATGAAGTGAATCCAAATTGGAAATGTTGTGTGATGGCGGCGGTTGATTTGTGTTTGTTGATTTCGAGTATCGGGGAGGTTGATTGGACATAAAACTTGGGACGGGATAGCAGAGCAGTATGGCTCAGCAGCAATCGTCGCGGCTCAATCGCCTGCTCACTTTGTTGGACAGTATCCTTTGCTTTTCTTTCCTGCCCTATGTAAATCTATGTATGGGAGAATAGTGAAAAACAAAACTGTTTATTTGGTTTCTCTGTATTTATGTTTAATGAATTTGTGATACTTGAATTGTTTGTGTGTGGTATTCATTTTGTTCTCTGTGTTTTTGAATTTCTGGAAATGAGGTGTCTTTTCTTAATAAAACTAAAGCGGGGTCAACCCAAGCAACAAGATTAACAGCAGCCAAACAGATTGGGGAAATAGCCAAATCACATCCTCAGGACTTGAACTCTTTGTTAAGTAAGGTATGGCTTTATGAATGTTCACTTTTCTAATCATCTTCTTTACACCATTTTGTCACTTAGCACAACCGTGTCTTTTATTTAATACATTTATACGTTTACCTGGCACTATGAGTACTCATTTTGTTTTTCAATATACTCTGGACACTATTCAAGATTTTTGTTATCTGACAACATTTTAAAAATGTTCTTTCTTTACCCTTGTACATCATTTTGTTTTTAAAAAACAACATATATCTCCACTGTAATTTCTAAAATTACTATGATATCCCAGTTAAACTTTTTGGGAATGTAGTCATACTTATTGCACATTATATTTATAATCCTTAATAAATTGAAAATGTGAATGTTTTTCTAATATCTATACGTGGTGGTTTGTGGCCCTGTTTGACTATCTTATGCTTATGGATTATGATTGTGTATAATACATAACCAACTGCTAGTTACTTTGGATTATTGACTGGAGTTGCCTAAAAAGTGTTGTACGGTCCACAACCCATGATGTTTGCCAAACCTGTAAAAGTAGCTCATAAGTATATAATTCCCATAATTAGATAAAAGTATTTATGTCAAAATCCACCTGTATGATAACACATTGCAGTTTTGTTATGATAATACTAGCACTGGAAATTTCAATTTTCCCCCTTTTAATGGGATGTTTTGGTGAAATGGATAGTGGAAGTGACAATATAATTGGAAAACAAGATGAAGTGTATAGTAGGTATTTCCTTTCTTTGTTGTCATCATGCATTAGTTTTTTCTCTTATTTTTTCCTTCTACTAATCTACTTCTAAGTATTCCATTCATTAGATGCATTACTCTTGTTTTGTTTTTGAATGGATCTTTTAGAATATGATAGGGGTCTTAAAGATAATAGATTAACAAATCCTACTTTCCTCTTTCAACTATTAGGGCTTTGTGGAATGGTGTCCATCTGGGATAGAAGCTTCTTGTTAATAAGAGGTAGTCATGTGGTGAATGGGAAAACATAGAAGTTCCTAACTTGAAATCCAATTAGAAAAGTTTTAAAAGGTAAAAATCAAT